ACAAGAACTTACCCCGGATTTACCACAGAAAGTTACCAAAACATTACCGAGAAAAACTTTACCACCAGAACCTTTACCAAGAAGCAGCATGACAACACAACCGGCAGATAAGCGAACCACATCCGGCCGAGTTGTCAAGCCACCTGTACGCTTCGCTTGAAGGGGAGCACTGTAGCAGCACACAATAATAACACAACACAGAAGTTAATCCTTTTATTCAAATGACGAAACACCGTCCAGGAAATAGTGATGCTGAATAATTCTTTGGTTACATAGCTCTGAAAAGAGCTTTCGTGCGAAACACAGATTATTTGGCTACATAGCTCTGAAAAGAGCTTTCGTGCGAAACAACGCTTCACTCTCGGCTATCACTACAGCTTCACGATCACCGCATCTCTTCAAGCAGTCGCCGCGGCACGCGGCACGCCGTCCGCTCGCCGCGCATCGAAGAGGACTCCACACGTCTGCACCGTAGGTGTCGCCCGACGAAATGGACGAGTGCCGCCGCGGACGGCGGTTTTGTCGAGCGACGCGCACGCTTCCCCGCGCGCCGCATTCCTCGCGCCGGGTGCGAGCGAAAGGCGCAAACCTACCTCTCCCGCTCGCACATCACTCATATAAATTATTATGAAACTACCCAATTATCATCGATTAAATAATGTAAAATTTTATATAAATATAACATGTTTTCCAAAATAAAGACATTCATCAACTGACCATCGAGAGTTTAATTTACCGAAACCTACAATCGCCAAATATTCTTGAATATCTAATGGGTCCCGACTGTTAAAGTAGCTTTGTTCCTTATTAACAGAATTATAGACTACTGGACTTGTTTTTCTCTTTTCAGTTTTTATTTGAAGTATAATTAAGCAGTCGGGTTTTTTGATTTTTTAAATTTACCTTTTTTATTTCACACTTTTTAGTTAGTTAGTATTTTAAGACGGTATATACCGTAGTCTTGTTACTTCAGTATGAGAATTAATATCGCGGGCAATTATTAAGTACCTGGCGTCAGCGTCGGTCTAAAAGATTGATTTATTAAGACATATAAAGACTTTACCAGCGGGGTCAAGGCTACAGATGGGCCTCACTTTTCACAAAAATGGGTGAAGTTAAATCAAGTCGTTACATAAATATCTCTTATGTATGTAAATTTTATAGTAAACTAACTAGCACTTAACCAAAAAGTCATTTTTTGTTTATGTTTTTTTTTAATAGTTTAGCAGTAAATATAAAATTCATTTACTTTTATTCGTCGACTATTTAAAATTGGCAGTGGCTGCATTGTCATGTCAATGCCGGAGGTCTAAGATTGTGATATACACAAATTCAGTGTCAGTCCCTAGTCTCATAATTTGATGAACCTACATAATTCACAGAAACCCAATATGTAGATGCCAGAAGTTAACTTTAAATGTTTTTAATCACCCTATATACAATACCAATCAATGACGTTTATGTCGCAGGTTGAAGAAAGCAGTAATTCCCGTCTGTTGTTTTGGACAATGGTGGCAATTGCCTTAGATCAGTAAATTAAATAATTATGCAATCACCAAAGCAAAGTTTATAATATTTGATTAAACTAAAGGCGCATAATAAAATTTTCATAAAGTTAGGTAGAGCACCATAGCAATCTCATTTATTATCAATTTATAGTTCTCTTTGTAGTTTTCTTTTAAAGCGTTCACATTTAACAGGTCAAAGACTTTGTGTTCGACCCTTTTTTATTGGTAGTGTAAAGCTCGAATGAAGAGTACTCCCAGTAGTGCAATCATGGCAATTATTTTCCAAATTTTTTTTTTGTTTATAAAAATACCGAATAACGTATCACTGTTAAGCACAAATGCTAAGTAACTTTTACAAATATAATCAAATAAACCTATTACGTACTTTATTTTTAAATCTTTTTCATCAATTAAATACTTATCCTAACTATCTATACTAATATTATAAAGAAGCAAGATTTGTATGTTTGTAACAAATAATCTGTCAAACTACTGAACCAGTTTCAAATATTAATTCAACATAAGGTAGCTACATTATTTATTATAACATTTTTCTTTATTTAAATACATTTTGTCCGAGTGACATAGGCCATATTTTATCCCGATAAATAAATTTCGCCCGTACAATGCCCGGGTGGATCACTAGTAAGTATAATATAATATTATAGATGCGAAAGTGAGTTTGTTTGTTGCGCTTCCGTGCCCTAATAGCTAAACCGAATACAATGAATTCCCATATAGAAGTGAAGATGGGAACTTGGTTCTTAGCTACAACATCGCAATACTTATAGGCGTAGGGTGATGAAAGGGGTGATTTACCTATAAAAATCTACATTATTTACTTTGAATTTTGCAGAATTATTACAAAACCAATATTATCGCGAGCTAATTAATAAATACAGGGATTCCAATAAGTATGTACTTACTAGCGAAAAATGGGTTATTTGTCATTATATTAAGTAAACCTTTTTTGTAACATTGAGTAATATCGTTTAAAAAAATGAAAAACAGTAAAATTCTGAGTTTTTCATTAAAATTCAATAATCATAAATACCTATTATTATAATATTTTTTTTCATCATTTAATAAGAAGGAACTGTATCACAGTTTTATTGTTAGTACTTCGTATAGGATCAGATACTGCGAATACCCCTTTTATTTTTTCTTTTACATAGTACACCGCGCTATCACTTTGTCATCGTTGTAACTTTTTAAATATTTGTCGAAATGACATAGTGTAAAAAGCAAAGTTTATCGTCTTTAAATATCAAAAGCGATAAAAGTATTTGATTTGATAAAAAATGATTTGTTAATACAAAATGTGCATTTTGGAAATAGATGTCTAATAATATTTTAGTTTTGATTCACTATTTTAGCGGTAATGACTTACACATTAAAAATAGATATATAGTGTCACGGACTTTTTTTTAGAACTATTCAAGAGATACATTTTCACTCTATATTACATTCATGTAACTTTTATTGTTTTTGCAGTGCAGGCCAAAATGGCTCTCAGATGGGAGATTTTTTTCCGTCTTATGTGACACTTATTATTATATATTGGCCAATTCACTCAATAATTAAATAAATTATTATATATATGTAATTATCATATATGAGCTATATTACTGTTAAGTTTCATCAAAATCCATTCAGTATTTTTTAAGGTGAAAGAGTAACAAAGATCCATACAAACGTAAGATTGAAATTAAAAGCGTAAGTGGTTAATATACAACTTTAAAGCGTTGTAGATCCTAAACAATCATATAAAATGAAAAATGATGTTAGGAACCTAAATATGATTTTTGATTTTCTAGACAGTGATACCCCACTCGACATATTTAGTCAACTTATTTTTTTTACTTCGTCACAATATGGCGTCTAATTTTGCCCATATTGAATTTTGATTACTATCATATCTTTAGTAGCACTCCCATGATTGAGACGAATCGATTGATGTATAAATCATCAAAATCGGTCCAGGCGTTTGGTCTCTAGTGTGCCACAAAGGAACAAACATACATATATAGACTGTTAAACACATAACCCTGTCTGCGCGTCGCGCTTCGCGCTCTTGCATTGCGCAGCCGGGTAAAAAATACGAGGGTACGCCTCAAACATGTGTGTGTATTGTCTTTACGTCCAGTAGTCGAAATATAGTCACGAAATCAAACAGTCGTATTATTTTCCACCTAAATGTCAAGATATATTAGTAACCACCTCGATCCCTCCCTCAGTGAACGGGTGGGGAGTGCTAGTGCTCGTGAGGCGCGGCACGCACCTGGAAGGTGAGGTCGACGGCTCGCCGCAGGTCGGCCGCGGGCGGCGGCGCGTCCGTGTCGGCGAGCGGCTCCACGCACGCGAGGCTGGCCGTCTGCCCGGGCTGTAACCACCTCGCAACCTCCCTCAGTGAGCGGGCGGGGAGTACTAGTGCTCGTGAGGCGCGGCACGCACCTGGAAGGTGAGGTCGACGGCTCGCCGCAGGTCGGCCGCGGGCGGCGGCGCGTCCGTGTCGGCGAGCGGCTCCACGCACGCGAGGCTGGCCGTCTGCCCGGGCTGTAACCACCTCGCAACCTCCCTCAGTGAGCGGGCGGGGAGTACTAGTGCTCGTGAGGCGCGGCACGCACCTGGAAGGTGAGGTCGACGGCTCGCCGCAGGTCGGCCGCGGGCGGCGGCGCGTCCGTGTCGGCGAGCGGCTCCACGCACGCGAGGCTGGCCGTCTGCCCGGGCTGTAACCACCTCGCAACCTCCCTCAGTGAGCGGGCGGGGAGTACTAGTGCTCGTGAGGCGCGGCACGCACCTGGAAGGTGAGGTCGACGGCTCGCCGCAGGTCGGCCGCGGGCGGCGGCGCGTCCGTGTCGGCGAGCGGCTCCACGCACGCGAGGCTGGCCGTCTGCCCGGGCTGTAACCACCTCGCAACCTCCCTCAGTGAGCGGGCGGGGAGTACTAGTGCTCGTGAGGCGCGGCACGCACCTGGAAGGTGAGGTCGACGGCTCGCCGCAGGTCGGCCGCGGGCGGCGGCGCGTCCGTGTCGGCGAGCGGCTCCACGCACGCGAGGCTGGCCGTCTGCCCGGGCTGTAACCACCTCGCAACCTCCCTCAGTGAGCGGGCGGGGAGTACTAGTGCTCGTGAGGCGCGGCACGCACCTGGAAGGTGAGGTCGACGGCTCGCCGCAGGTCGGCCGCGGGCGGCGGCGCGTCCGTGTCGGCGAGCGGCTCCACGCACGCGAGGCTGGCCGTCTGCCCGGGCTGTAACCACCTCGCAACCTCCCTCAGTGAGCGGGCGGGGAGTACTAGTGCTCGTGAGGCGCGGCACGCACCTGGAAGGTGAGGTCGACGGCTCGCCGCAGGTCGGCCGCGGGCGGCGGCGCGTCCGTGTCGGCGAGCGGCTCCACGCACGCGAGGCTGGCCGTCTGCCCGGGCTGTAACCACCTCGCAACCTCCCTCAGTGAGCGGGCGGGGAGTACTAGTGCTCGTGAGGCGCGGCACGCACCTGGAAGGTGAGGTCGACGGCTCGCCGCAGGTCGGCCGCGGGCGGCGGCGCGTCCGTGTCGGCGAGCGGCTCCACGCACGCGAGGCTGGCCGTCTGCCCGGGCTGTAACCACGGCTCTCGCAGTAGATCGGCCGCGCGGGGCCGCAGTGAAGGCTCTAACTGCAGCATCCGGCGGATACAGCCGCGTGCTTCCGCGGAAACGCCGCGCCACACGCCACTGGACAATTCTACCTAAACACACATTGTTTGTTAAACATTAATAAATTAATTAATTAATTAATCAGAAAAATAACTCTATAGTGCGACATGGATCTTTAGAATTGTGAATGTGAGTTCAGGGAAGGCGCCACTGTCTACGTAAATGACATACAAAATATGACGTTTACAAAGACGACACCGTTAGTTCCAATTTTCGCCACATTCATAAAGATCTTTGTCGCACTATATCATCATTGCTTCGCGATGCCGACGTGTTATAGAGTAAGTTCCCAATACCGCTAGATCTCACTTATTTTCTCATGGACAAAATATGGATAGTTGAGTAGTATTAGTGTGTACAATGAACGTAATGTCGTTGTTAAACGAATATCTGCTATGTGCAAAATATTCTATATTCTAGCTGATGCATGCATATACGATATTATTAAAGCAATATCTGTTCATCGTTATAATGCTAAAGATTCGCATAGCAGTCTTCGTTTTCGAAAATCAGTTAATATACTACAGTACACTAATCATAATGATGAAAATGTCGAAATCTTCAAAAAGTGCACATAGCAGATATCAGTTTGACAACGGCGTTACTAGTAGTAACTATAACTTGTCGGCATCGCGAACACAATATAAGTAAAATCAGATATATTGGTTGAGTCATTCTCAAGTGATGATCTTTCTTTGATGATCGACAGGATTAGAGTTTACTTTCAAACCTGTTTTTGGCGTGATAACGTCTTCTAAATCGATGAACACCGGCTGCACGCACGGAAGAGTGTGACGTCAGTCACGTTATGTGACGTCATGTCACGAGTTAGTTCAACGTTCCGCTGTGTGTGAGGTGAAGTCGAAGGGTTCCTACGAGCACCTGACCTCTGCCCCCTCGAAGAGTATTGTAACGCCCGTTGCGTTACAGCCTCTTTGCTTGTTTAATGCATGCGGCTGGCAGTTGTATTAAAAAGTTAATGTCATTATGTTAAAAATTTGAAATTGGAAATCTTCTGTTTTTTTGATAGAAGATTCCAGGAGATAGAATTCAGGCACAAAAACATACGGTTATCGATTAAGCTATAATTATTATATTCGCCTTGAATTCTAATAAAAAAAAGATTTAAATCTAATTAGTTCTTTACTATCTGAGCATTACCCACAGTCCTATCCCTTCAGGATAGACCGCTACAGTACCTCACCTCCGCGGAGCCTAACTCGGGCCTCCATAGAGCTACAGACGCGTGCTTGGGCTCAAACAAACCGGAACAAAAAGCCTTACAACACTGCCCCGAGGAAAACAGCGAACGACACGTTCTCACGTAAAATTATATTCCGTAAACCGACTTTCCAAACATCCAATATTTTTTAATAGGTAGAACGAAATTTTACTTTATTCTGTTTATGTAAGGAACTGACGCGACCTGTCAGATGCATTCTTTCGTTGGCCGCACTTTAATAATAATTAAGGCTATTTTTATTCACTGTTATGTCCACTTACTTTCCCAGACTCGATTCTCGCTAAAATTGCTTCAGGAGTATCGTCTCCTGTTGATGCGAACGGTGTTCGACCCGAGAGCATAATGTATGCTAAAACACCTGCAAAAAAAATGGATTTTATCTTACTTATTTTATTAAATAACACCAAAATATGACGTCACATTGGTACAGTTTTTAATAAAGTTAGCATAGAAAATCTCAATTTTAATCAAATCTTGATGCTGTTGCCTATGTGCTATAATTTGTTTCGTATTGTGTCCTTGATGTAAATGTTTAATTATATATTTTAAGAACTAATAAACAAGAAATAAGAGCTTACGACTTCCGTGGCCGAGTGGAATATACGCCGGGTTTCATGGCGTCGCCTACTCAGAGGTCCTGGGTTCGAATCCCGGTGGGGGCAAATGTTAGTATGATAAATACGAGCATTTGTACCTTAGTCATGGATGTTTATATATATTTCTAGATAAAAAATATCTTATATATATATATCAGTATATGCCCTACCATCCCATAACATAAGCCTCACAGTGCTTTGGGGCTAAGCTAATTAACAAACTAGTGTGTAAAAAAAGTAGATAGTATACAAAATTAATGAATTAATTTGAACACCTTGTAAAATATGATTCAATGTGGTTACGTAGTATCCCTGTGACACTTAATTACTAAAAATAGTTTAGTGAAACTGGAACAGGAAAGTGCACACGCAATTGCTTACTTCAAATATCATAGGCAACGTCATAACAAAATACAAGGAAGTTGGAGGTACTTAATTGAAATTTCAAGGAACTGTAGGCCTAATCTGAACCGTACAAAATAGGAGTTATATAGAGTACAACAATTGGACAGACGACTACGCATGGGTCATAAGAGAGAGAGATAGCTAGCGGTCTCATCTTCTTTCTCTTTCTACTAGGCGGACACTTTTAGAGCCACCTTCTCTATTCTTTTACTTCTATGGCTTCACCCCTTCAATATACCTAAACTAACGCTATACACGGCGCCTTAAACATGTCTAAAAGTATATACATACTGTACGAGCTAGCTTCGTACAATGCATTTTTCCCGCATCATAATTTTTAACTTGACCTCATTTTACATTTTTGCACAAAATTATTTTATAAGTTAGTTCGCAACCAACAAGCTACCATAACGTGCGTACTCATACCATTTTCATTAAGCAAATGAGGAGCTGGCGAAAAAAACGGTATAATTACGCAGATGCGTAAATGCGACCAGATGGTCAAACTATTTCTTTTTACAGTCCTGGGGTTAGGGGCCTGTTGAATTTGAATCTCAAATAATTTTCAATCAAAACCGCCTAAAACAATGTTAAAATTACTAAATTTATAAATTAAATATACTATGCCAAAAGCTCACTGTAGGTATGGCATTCAGTTTTATACAGCTCCTGTAAAATTTTATTCTATGTAAATAAATAAATATTTCCAACACTCACACGAATTAGCCTAGCCTCAAAGTAAGCACTATAAGGCTTGTGTTATGGGATACTAGAGTAACAGATAGAATACACAGTACCCCTAGCACGAACAACATCGAATTCGTAACGTTTGCGAGTCCGAATGTCATTGTCAAATGTATACAGTACTCCTAGCACGAACGATTATCGAATTCGAATAGTTTGCAAACCGAAATGTCAATGTCAAATTTTGTATGAAAACTTGAACAGCAACGGCACAAAGCACGTAACGAGAACTAAAAATGAGTACACATTTGACAATGACATTTCGGACTCGCAAACGATACGAATTTGATTTTGGTTCGTGCTAGGGGTACTGATTTTTAGTTCTCGTTACGTACTTGGTGGCGCTGCTGTTCAAGTTTCCATACAAAATTTTTTAAATAATAAATATTTCCGACACTCACACCAATTAGCCTAGCCCCAAAGTAAGCACTATAAGGCTTGTGTTATGGGATGCTAGGGTAACGGATAGAATACATATACTGTACATATATAAGTATATTTATATAAATACATATTAAACATCCATGACTGGAGTACAAATGCTCGTATTCATCACACAAACATCTGCCCCCACCGGGATTCGAACCCGGGACCTCTCGAGTCAGCGACAGCCATGAAACCCGGCGTACAAACCACTCGGCCACGGAGGTCGTCAAAAAATTTAACATTGACATTTCGCACTCGCAAACTATTCCAATTCGATAATGGTTCGTGCCAGGGATATTGTACATATATAGGTATATTTATATAGAAATACATATTAAACATCCAGGACTGTAGTACAAATGCTCGTAGTCACCACACAAACCCGCAAATTTTCGAAACTCGCACGGGAATCAAAACTACAGGGTACTTCCCGTGAACTTAGAATCTTGAAATTTGGTACGAAGAACGTCTTATAGTACAGATAAAGGAAAAATTGCGAAAACCGTAAATTTTTTGTTACATCATATAATAAAAAATAAATAATGGAAAATTCAGGTTCGTACGGAACCCTCGGTGCGCGAGTCCGACTCGCACTTGGCCGGTTTTTTTTGTCTTTTTTTCAAATATGCCATTTTTACCAACATCAATGCTAATCATTTATAGGCCACCAGCTCGTATACATACCTAAACTCCATATATCACATGCGGCGTCATATCCGGCACGTTTCAATACTTCGGGCGCTACGAAGTTGGCGGTGTAACAAGGCGTCATCAATAAGCCGTTCTCGGCCCGCAGTTGTTTCGCGAGTCCGAAGTCCACAAGGCGAATGTCTTCAGGCCTCTTCTCGGACGTCGCGAACAGAATGTTGGATGGCTTTATGTCCCTGAAACAATAAATGTAATAATATTGACAACCACTTAGTGGCAGTCTTGCCCGAATACAATTCTTCTTGAAACTGCGTGAGAATCCCTTTAAAGGTGTATTTCAAAATCTGGCGCCCGAGGCCACTTAAGATTTCCAGTTATAATGTATTTTATGCTCGTCATGCTTGTGAACGGGTGCTGCCAGCGGAGATGAGTCTGCCCTAACTACTTTGATATTTAAGATGTAAATGTCTAGTTACACCTAATGTAAATAACACTATTTGTATTGATACTGTATGACGCAGCAATGAAAATGCAGGTAAACAATTAATGTATAATTTCACATTATGCAACGAAAGGTGACTTCATGAATCATCTATGAAGCTATTTTCAACTTGACGACTCTTTAAATAACAAAACAGGGACAAAACAGCCCTTGCTGAGTTTCTGGCCGGTTCTTCTCAGTACAAGGTCTACCGCCGTAGATTTACGAACCGATGGCGTAGCTTCTAGACATTCATGAGTGCTTGTAATAGCCTAAACTAAATAAATGATTTTGATTATGATTAAAAATCAAAATCTAACCTACTTTTTATTTTATAAAATAAGAAATTTTATAAGTGGCCTCTGCCGCCCCTCGTAGCCTACCGCTCCGATCTACGGCCCTTTCGGCCCTAGTATAAATACGCTACAATGTAAGCGATGTGTGTATATTAGAAATGACGCTTTGTTCTGAGGCTGTCTCTGTATGACTGCCCAATCATACGGGTCGGTTTCGTATTTTGTGCTTGTAATATAATACATGTTATTATAATTAACTGTAATTAAAAGAATGTGTAAATAGTGTACAGATTGCAGGTTTGACGACCTCCGTAGCCGAGTGGTTTGTACGCCCGGTTTCAAGGTCGAAACTACTCGAGAGGTCCCGGGTTCAAATCCCGTTGGGGGCAGATGTTTGTGTGATGAATACGAGCATGTGTACTCCAGTCATGGATGTTTAATATGTATATCTATATAAATATAGTTATATATGTATTCTATCCGTTACCCTAGTATCCAATAACACAAGCCTTATAGTGCTTACTTTGGGGCTAGGCTAATTCGTGTGAGTGTTGAAAATATTTATTTATTTTTTACATTCCTCAGTATGTGAGCGAATATGTATCATTATGTTCTAGGAGTTCTCCGCTTAACTTGGACAAAATAGCGGCCTGAATCCAGCACTATAGTATTTATATTCCACTAGTAGATTAACCCACGATTTCGTCTGTGTGGAAAAAGTAGTTTCCCACACAGAGTTCCACCTCATTAAAGTTTGATAATAACAAGTATCTTATGTCATTTCCCGGGTCTCAAACTATCTCTATACCAAATTCTATCTAAATCGGTTCAGCGGTTTAAAAGTGAAGACTTGAAGAGGTAAAATACAGACACATATTTTTCGTATTTAATAAATAAATAAATATTTGCAACACTCACATCAATTATTTATTAGCCTAGCCCCAAAGTAAGCACTGTAAGGCTTGTGTTACGGGATACCAGGGTAACGGATAGAATAGATATACTGTACATATATAAGCATACTAGCCGTGCCCCGCGGTTTCACCCGCGTTTTTCTCGTTTCCGTGGAAATACCGAGATAAAATATATAGGTACCAACTCTTAACATCTTACACACGTGATAACTTTTAAACGAAATATCCGATTGAGATGAAACAAAAAGTATTTTACTTCTACTAACATAATGCTTATTTTCGATAAAGATTAATATTACGATACATATTTAACGTAGTTTTTTTTTCTTCAGACGATTTAATAATTATTTTGCACACAAAATCGGTAATGTGATTAAACCACGATAGCTAGATATATGTTCTCGCGGACTTTTTTGTAGGTAGGTGTAGGGGATCTACAAACCCGTAGTACATCATTTTTTTCTATTGTCAATAGTTTTTGCAGCGCGCGAAAAAATAGGTTTTCGATTTTACACCTTGTGTTACAAAATAGCAATTTTATTACGGATCCCTAATTTTGAAAAAAAATGGCCTATAGCCTTCCTCGATAAATGGACTACCCAACACTTAAAGAATCATTCAAATCGGACCAGTAGTTCCAGAGATTAGCGCGTTCAAACAAACAAACAAACAAACTCTGCAGCTTTATAATATTCATCATCATCATCATCATCATCATCAGCCGAAAGACGTCCACTGTTGGACATAGGCCTCCCCCATGGATTTCCACAACGATCGGTCCCATGCTGCCCGCATCCAGCGGCTTCCCGCGACCTTTACCAGATCGTCGGTCCACCTTGTGGGGGGCCTGCCAACACTGCGTTTCCCGGTACGCGGTCGCCACTCGAGGACCTTTCCGCCCCAGCGGCCATCGGTCCTGCGAGCAATGTGCCCTGCCCATTGCCACTTAAGGTTTGCAATTCTGTGGGCTATGTCGGTGACTTTAGTTCTCTTGCGTATCTCCTCATTTCTGATTCGATCACGCAGAGAAACTCCGAGCATAGCCCTCTCCATTGCCCTTTGGGTGACTTTGAGCCTTCTTACAAGACCCATTGTAAGCGGCCACGTCTCGGTTCCGTATGTCATCACTGGCAACACGCACGAATTGAAGACTTTCGTCTTGAGGCACTGCGGTAGATGTTCCGAGAAGATGCTACGTAGCTTCCCGAACGCTGCCCAGCCGAGTTGGATTCGTCGATTAACCTCTTTCTGGAAGTTGGACTTACCCAGTTGGACTATTTGTCCCAGGTATACGTACTGGTCAACAACTTCCAGTGTAGAGCTCCCAACAGTCACTGGAGTGGGTACGACATGGGAATTCGACATGATTTTCGTCTTGTCCATGTTCATTTTGAGACCCACTTGTTGGGACACCCTACTGAGGTCGCCGAGCATTGTGCCAAGGTCATCCATGGTCTCAGCCATGACTACGATATCATCTGCAAATCGAAGGTGCGTCATGTACTCGCCGTTTATGTTGATGCCAAGTCCGCTCCAGTCCAAAAGTTTGAAAACGTCTTCCAGCGCAGCTGTAAACAGTTTCGGTGATATAACGTCACCCTGTCTTACACCACGCTGCAGCTGGATTGGCTTCGTGTTTTGGTCCTGGAGTCGAACTGACATAGTGGCGTTTTCATACAACGACTGCAACACTTCGATGTATCGATAGTCTATTTGGCACCTTTGGAGTGACCGAAGCACGGCCCATGTCTCGATCGAATCGAAGGCTTTCTCGTAGTCCACAAACGCCAAGCATAATGGCAGGTTATACTCTTCGGTCTTCTGTATAACCTGCCGCAGCGTATGGATGTGGTCTACGGTACTAAACCCTTTTCGGAATCCGGCTTGTTCGGGAGGCTGGAAGTCGTCAAACCTGCGCGCGAGACGATTCGTGAGGACTCTCGAAAACAGCTTGTATACATGACTCAGGAGCGTGATGGGTCTGTAATTCTTCAACTGGGCCCTGTCGCCCTTCTTGAAGAAAAGCGCCACCACTCCCCTATGCCATGCGCTAGGCGTTCTGCCCTCGAGTATGACAGAGTTAAATAGCTTCTGAAGAGATTTCAAGACTGGTCGTCCACCTGCTTTCAGAAGCTCGGCTGTAACTCCGTCATCACCCGGCGCCTTATTGTTTTTGAGCTGTTTCAGAGCTACACTAATCTCGTACAGGCTGACGTCCGGGATATCTTCGGTGTAGTGTCGGGTTAATTTGGCTCTTGGGTCGGTCGCCTTTGTGACAGGTACTCGTGATGTCGCGTATAGCTGTCCGTAGAAGCTTTCGATCTCAGCCATAAGCTCAGGTTGCGACGAAATAATTCTGCCGTCCTCTGTCTTCAGCTTCGTCAGCAAACTCTGTCCAAGAGACAGATTTCTTGCGAACACTTTCGAGCCTTTGTTCCGCTCGATGGCCTCTTTAATACGATCAGTATTAAAGCGGCGTATGTCGCGAGTCAGAGACTTCGAAATCTGCCTATTGAGCTGCCGACGTGCATCTTCAGAGGACTGCAGACCCATCTCACGCCTTTTCTCCATGAGCTTGAGAGTCGGCTCCGAGATCTTGCTGCGTTTTTTGGTACGGATGGGCTTGCAGAACTTCGAGCCCACCGTAAGGACAGCTTCAACAAACCTGTCATTATAATTGTCGACGTCTACGCAGCTCTCTAGGCAATCGAAGCGATTTTGCAGTTCGAGTTGAAAGCGCTCGGGGTTTTGGATCCGGATGGCTTCAGGACGGAGCGTGGACTTCATCAGTCGATTCCTTTCGGCTTTGACATTTAGATTCAATGTGCCTCTTACCATTCGGTGATCGCTTCCCGTATTGAACGAATTGATCACTGAGACATCATTGAATATCCGAGTCTTAGTCGACATGATGAAGTCAATCTCATTTTTTGTCACGCCATCCGGACTTTTCCAGGTCCATTTTCGATGCAGCCGTTTTCTGAAGAAGGAGTTCATCATAAAGAGTCCCTCCTTCTCCATGTAATCGGCTAGCATTTGACCTCGGAAGTTCCGGATTCCAACTCCAAATTGCCCCACTTTCAACTCATCATCGCCACGTTTGCCCAGCCTTGCGTTGAAGTCCCCCATGACAACGGTGTAATGGGTCCTGGAAGCATGCATTGCCCGAGAAATATCCTCATACATGACTTCCACTTCCTCGTCGGGGTGCTTCGAGGTCGGAGCGTATACCTGTATGACCTTCAACGAATACCGTTTGGTGATTCTGAGTATAAGGTACGCCACCCTATTCGACACACTACCGATCTGTACAACATTGTTCACGAGAGACTTGTGGACAACAAACCCGACACCACCCTGGGACAGATCTTCGCCCTCCCGGAAATAGAGCAGGTTGCCGGATTTAAGGACCATCGTGTCCTCGCCCTCTCTTCGGACTTCTGATAGTCCTACAATACTCCAGCGAATCCTGCTCAATTCTTCCTCCAGTTCGAGCAGCTTCTCCTCGGTCCGTAGTGTGCGTGCGTTGTACGTTGCCAGGGCCAAGGTCGTTTGACGGGGGATTTTTGCCGCCCGGGGATTCTTCGCACCCCTGGTCCTGGCGCCGAGTCGGCGTCCGTCAGCGCCGCCACGGACTCCAGCACCGCCGGGCACTTGGGGCCTCTTATTATGTACTATCATTTTTTTTTTTTTTTTTTTTTAGGGGGGGTTTTGGGCCGTCTCCCACCACGCTGGCCCAGTGCGGGTTGGTGGGGAGCGCCAGAGCCTCGTCCGTTGGTCGGCAGGGTACACCGCGGGCAGGTGAGGTTGGCTTGGGTGCCGTTGGGTGTTAGGCGGCACCCCTTATACCCCTTTTTATAATATTAGTTACCATTTTATAATATTAGTATAGATTAATATAGAAATACATATTGAACATCCGTGACTGGAGTACAAAATGCTCGTATTCATCACACAAACATTTGCCCCACCGGGATTCGAACCCGGGACCTCTTGAGTCGGCCACACTATGAAACCCGGCGTACAAACCACTCCGCCACGGAGGTCGTCATATTTAAATATTAGTATGGTTGTATTTACAGCAAGCGGCCGCCCCTGACTTCGTACGCGTGGAGTTAGTTAGAAATAAAGGTTCACTACTCGTTCCCCGTAGGTGATAGCGTGATAATATGTAGCCTATATGTTGACCCGACTTCTTAATAATAATCATGCCAAATTTGAAGTAAATCCATGCAGTACTTTTTGAGTTTATCCCGGACATACATTCAGCATAACAACAAAGACAAACAGACCAAAATTCTAAAAACTTTATTTTTGGCTCGGTATCGATTGTAGATCACACCCCAAGTATTATTTAAAAACATATTCAATATACAGTTTTGACTCTCTTTTGACTTGACCATTTTATTAAATGAAATAGAAATATTAGTATGGATTACCTGTGAACCACAGTGTGCCTGTGCAAGTAGTGCACAGCATGTAGTGCATTCCTCAGTATGGGAGCGGTCTCGTGTTCCGGCAAGTATCGCCGTTGCGTGATATGTTATCTCTATACCAAATTCCATCTAAATCGGTTCAAGCGGTTTAGGTTTAGGGTTGTTGAAGAGGTAACATACAGACACATTTTCCTATTTATAATATTAGTACCTATGGATTACCTGTGAACCACGGTGTGCCTGTGCAAGTAGTGCACAGCCTGAAGTACATTCCTCAGTATGGGAGCGGCCTCGTGTTCCGGCAAGTATCGACGTTGCGTGATATGTTCCAGTAATTCCCCACCGCGACATAGTTCAGTAACGGCCAGTATACGCCCGCCTTCTTCGTATACGCCGCGTAATGTTATTATGTGAGGGTGTTGACTGTACCTGTTTTAAACGATATGAAAAAACCCTAAATACAAGACAACGATATTAAATACCCTAGATCGAGACAACACGAACAAAATTGTGGCCGAAACGTATCCAAAAGGTACATAGGACGATCCACGGAGCTAGAAGATGATCGCATTATTTAATAATTGAAAAGGTCTTAATTAAAACGTATGCGTCAAAGAATTATGACAGCTCGAAATGCAAGCTCATAAAATTTTACGGCTTATTGTTATATGCGGAAGAATATAAACCTTATTTTTTTGACTTTACGAGCAATTCTGAATGCTCTGCTAGCAATGTAGCAAGTACAGACAGCGAGGAAAAGAGACGGCTATACGGCGACGTATAACCGCAAGTATTTGTATATGACATTTTTTTATATTAAATTAGTTTATAGTAAGTATTAGAATAAATTTAGCTTCAAATGCGTTAAATTAACATACATTGATTAGATACCTGTGGAAAAACGAGCTCAGAGACTTATTTACTTTAAAACGGTCCACGCGTGACTGTGAACCAAGAAGTGCTTCAGCGGTGTTCAAGCACTTCTTGATGGGATACTATTGGGAAGTAGAACAAAACGAAAGAGAAATCTATGATTATGCATCATATAAAGGAGCTACTTTGATAGGCCGTATTTACAAGTTGCCATCAATATATGGCTTATAGGGCAATGTCCATACGAAAGCCGCCATAGGGCGTTACTGGATAGCTAATAAACGAATAAAAGTCGACGCGGACGAAGTCTTTTACTAAACTTTTCCATTATTTTATATTCGTATTTTTGTACCTTTTCTCAGTTGTATTGAACACAGTTATAGCTTAATAATTAAGCGTCGTGTAATATATTGCCTTTTTTCTCCTACAAAAATTAGAAAAAGAAAGAAATAGCTAGACTCCATGAAAAAATTCTATTGTCTATGTAACTAGCCTTAAGTTGTAATTTTTGTTAATTTATTTATTGATTTGTATTTTTGCCTGGGAAGAATCTGCTATCCTAGATTACCAGCATAATCTAAGCATAGTTATTTTATCAATATTGCTGAGACACAGGTCTTCCCTTAGGATGGAATAGCGAGACCGGGCCATGAAATGACCCACCACGCAAGCCACCAGATTGGTGGGTGCTAACGATTTAAGGAGCAAAGTGGAACAAAAATCTAATGCGCCTTCCGAAGCACGGAAGATCTGGAGATAACATAAAATTTTGGTCACTCATCCTATGACCGGCAATTGCAATCGTTGCTTGACTTTCACGATCGCAAACTAAACGCGCTAACCGCTACGCCATCAAACTCCCAATTATCTATATTTACCTCAATAGAATTTCAATTTCTTCCCGTGGATCATACTGTAACTTATCCATGATTTTGACTGCATATTGTACCCTAGATGTTTTATGTTCGCAAAGACGGACTACTGAAAATGATCCAGTACCCAACTCTCCCATCAACCTACAAGAAAAATTTAAAGAGTTAGGCACTTTATTTCACCAACATTTAAAGTACTGAAAACAATGTTTTTTACTATATGAGAAATAAATAAGTTTTAATTATTTTTATATGAAGAAAAAGAACTTTCGTCCATCAATCAAACCCAAACTAAACATGGTTTTCATTATTGCCATTGATTCAAAAAAAAAATCATCATCAAAGCTGAAATGGGAATAATAACACTAGTTGGTTTATGTAGAAGTAATAATATATGGATGCGTTAAATCCAAATCTTATATATAAAATTCTCATGTCACAATGTTAGTTTCCTCCGAAACGGCTCGACCGATTTTTATGAAATTTTATATGCATCTTCAGTAGGTCTGCGATTCGGCTACTATCTATTTTTCTTACCCCACATACATTTATTTTTTGGATTTTAAATGTGGCATTAAAAATAAAGATAAACACACACAACCCTAAATTTTCACCTTTCTATCACCGGGCCCTATTTTTATGGCGGTACGAAGTTCTGGTCCAAGGCTGAGAGTAATTTAAATATTTATAAACTAAATTTCGACATAAAAATGACGCGACAAAGGGGGCATATTTATTGTCTACGAAATAAGAGAAATCTTTAAAGATCAACTGTTCAAATCAAAGTCCAATATCTGGAGCTAACCTGTATTCATCAAAGAAATTGTTTCTATTTACGAAACCCGACCAAAACTCCTCAGTTGATGTTTTGTTGTTCTGCGCTATGTGATTCTGATTTTGGTTGGTTACAGTTTTGTTATTTTCTTCCGTAAGTAAACAGGGAGCGACAAAGCTGAAACCCCTGAAAGAGAAAAAAGCATTTTTATTTTCGTCTCACTGAATAGAGAGGAAACCAAAAAAAATTGGGTTACTTTATACCGATATTGGAAAAAAGCAATACAAGATAAAACTTATTTATTGCAAAAAAGATACACACTCCATCAAGAGAATTCGTAAATGATTTGCACCACGCAGTGAAATGTGTATCTTAAAATAAGTAAAAATGTAAATAGTTTGTCAGTAGCTTACAGTAAAGGCGACCTGCGCTGCCTTAAGAGTGCGGAGCGGACGTCCGCTCCACGTGTATTTTTTTTGATGTGTAACATCTTTCCTCTCGCTTTCTTGCAAATTTGTTTGAGTAATTTCGTTAAATGGGACGGAAGTGTGTTACAGGAAGTTTGGGAAGCGCGCGCTATTTGATTTAATTTAAGAATATAGTGATAAAATTGCTTATTCCTTTTGTAGTAGGTTTTATTTATTTTTTTACTAATAGAAGGTGAGGTAGGTGAGGTACGCACATCATATGCGACTAATGTGAGGCTCGCACGTTTTTTTATGTTATTTCGCAGAGCGCTGCTCTACGAAATGACATGAAACTGCTCCCGCTTAATGCAGCGTACGCCCTAAGGGTCATTGTCTTAGCTATGTTTGCTGGACTTCACTGTAATAATTTATTGAAGTCTTTGGTTTAGTTTCTGGCCAGATTCATTCATAAAGCCTATAAAACAACTATACTTATTGTCTAATCTGTTATGGAACCTACTGCTGATTTTGATTTCCTTGGCACAAGTGCTTTTATAGATGGGTTGCAGTAAGTATTGTAAAGTGATATGGCCCAATAATTATTAATACAATAACAAGTCAATTTTACTCATGAATTGACCAAGCGTCATAAAATATTATACTATGAATCATCATTATCTATTTATAAAAGCATTGTGGTTGCAGGCTTTTCTTTGTTTAATTTAAACTTAACAAAGCAATACAGTAATTTTAGTCTTTTCAATCAATTGTGAATACACACATCAAAAGTGTAGTAGGAATCAAGTACCAATGCTCGTACGTGATTGGCGCTGCCGCTAGGCGCAGGGCTACATTGTTCACTTAAACACATAGGTTTTTAAGTAAAATCATATCTGGAAGACTGGATTTGGTCAATGTTGATGGGATATTTTTTATTGGAAGTTTACTAGATTGTTACGGCACTTGGGTGAGTGTAGTAACATTTTACTTCTTTTGCTTTTTAGTGTTAAAAGAAAGCAAATAATTGCAAAGTATATAAATTTAATTAATTATGTAATAAAAATACTAAGGTATAAGCATGAGGATTCCATGCTAAGAATATATTTTCTAACATTATCACTACTCAACTGTGACTCATCTCTGGTGTTCAGGTGGTCAATGGAAATGTTTGATAAGTTTCCTACTAAAATAAAAACACTCAAGGTTTATTTACAGAGTATGTACCTACGTTTATGGTACTTATGTCCATAAAGTAACTACAAAACAGAGTTACATATTTCTTTATCTTATCTTACTTGTCAGTGTAAGATATAGAATGCTAAAACAATTGTGAGATGAAGATACAAAAGAAAATTTGATTAAAAATTATTACAATACAATAGTAAATGATATCAATTATCTATTTTTATTGAATCTGTAGCACAGTAGATAATCAACTTTATATATTTTTTGTTTATTTTGGACTAGGGGTCGCCCGCGACTTCGTACGCGTGGAGTTAGAAATAAAGGTTCACTGTTTGTTCCCTGTTGGTGATACCGTGATAAAATGTAGCCTATATGTTGACCCGACTTCTTAATATTATTCGTGCCAAATTTGAAGTAAATCCATGCAGTACTTTTGGAGTTTATCCCGCACATTCATACAGACAAACAGACATAAATTCTAAAAACTATATTTTTGGATTCAGTATCGATGGTAGATCACACCCCAAGTACTCTTTTAAAAAAATATTCAATGTACAGTTTTTACTTTCCTACCATTTTATTATATGTATAGATAACATACCTGAATAATTCGTGTGCATTAGCAGAAGCCGGTACACCAGGAGAATCCCTTGGTGTACGGCAAGTAAACTCCGAGTCAAAGTAAAACGCATCATCAGCCCTCGAAACAGCTGGGCGAAACGGTGGCACTACCTGAAAAGAAAAACTTTTCAAAACAGTGGTTCGTTTCATTGCTAAATATTTGTGTTCTCATTAATGTAGTCACTTAATCCACTATAATATCATAAAATTGATTCTGATTTCAAATTCCATTGTAACAAATACATACCTCTTTTCTGAGCAATGCATCCCAATCTATGTTTGCAAAGAATTCATGATTTTTTATATCTTCAATACCATTATGACTAGCACCCAGCCTGCACATAAATGTTACACATTTATGATAAATACAGTTTTCTAAATTAAAAAATCATAAGCGGTTGTTATATTACCAACCTGTTCTGAGGATTTCTTTTAAATAAAGCTCTTAGTAAAGACTGTGCCTCTTCACTAAGATTAGAAGGCATGCCTAGTTTGGCCTTTAGTATTTGCGTCATAGTTTCATGTCTTGTCGACCCATGGAAAGGTAAGTTTCCAGTAAGCATTTCAAACTGAAATAACATTGTATTTCTGTCAGAAAAACACACACAGATATAGTGTTATAATGCAATTATTATTGGACTTACCATAAGCACACCAAAAGACCACCAGTCAGCAGCAAATGTGTGACCTCTTCTGTTGACCACTTCAGGTGCCATATACTCCACAGTGCCACAGAAACTGTAAGCTTTATCACTACTTGGTGGTAATTTCGACAAACCAAAATCAGTAAGGGCTATATGTCCATCAGCATCTAACAATATATTTTCTGGTTTGAGATCCCTGTATATTATTCCCAATTTGTGCACATGTTCCAGAGCCAAAGCTAGTTCTGCTAAATAGAATTTAACATCTTCTTCAGTAAACATCACCTGAAATGGTTTTAAATTATTTAATATTTTTTTTTATCTTCAATCTTCACAATTTACATGATCAACATGTGTAATGTTATATTGTATTTGTATCAATGCTTAAACTGATGTTCAAGAATAACAGTGATCGATTTGACAAATTAATGAATCAAACATAAATAATATTATATTTCTTCGTTTTAATTAATGTGCATGGAAATTTTAAATGTAAGAAATAGTACAAGCAATTATTTTCAAACTGCATGGAGTAAATTAAAAAATAATAAATTAGACATAGATAAATCAAAAGAGACACTAATATCCATTAGGCATTTTACTGCTTAAAATAAAACATTTGGCACATTATTATGTGCCATATTAGGCGTATATGGCACAAATAAAATAACATAAAAAGCAGTTTATCACCAACAAAATTATACTTTACCTCTTTACTTAATCTGGAAAATAAGTCTCCACCACGTAAAAAATCTAGTATTAAATAAAGTTTCCCAGCTGTTTGAAAAGCATAATGCAGTTTAACAATAAATGGGTGTCCCATTTCAACTAATATGTTTCTTTCCATTTTTGTCCTTTCTCTATCTCTTACTTTTAATGTGGCTTTCTTCAATACCTAAAAGGAAAAATATAAAAAATAGTACTTGAGTCAATAGGAATACCTTTCTATCACTATAATCTCTAGTCTAAATAATAATAGTTACCTTCATTGCATAGAGTGTGCCAGCATCAGCACCTGAGACCTTTCTAACTAAAAACACTTTGCCAAATGAACCTTCACCAAGAACTTTGAGCAATTCAAACTGTGACGGATCTGCTTTCTCATGGCCTTCTTTAACAACATCTTGCAGTTCAATCTCTCTCTCATAATTGATTTCATTAGAGTCATGGCTGTCAGCTGTAGAAGCTTGACGAGATTCTGCTGAATTTTCGACAACCATTGGAAGACTATTAGCAGGTTGCCCTGTGTTGTTCTACAAGCGAAAGTTATATTATTTAGTTATATGGTCTAAATTACGTTTATTTGAAACACAATTTAGAGATTTACTACACTATAGTAAAAGTGGGCGTTGATAAAGATAAAAACGTATATGCATACGGCAACACGACACCAAACTTGTTCACTGTCTTTTCCAATACTACGAATGAGTAATCACAGCAGGAAAAACCTCTACACATGTACAATAAATCTCATATTAATTAGCTATGCAAACAAATTGACAAACATACCGTGCTATCTGCAGCACTTTGCATTCGCCACGGATCTGAAGAGTTCGCCAAAGGCATTGTGTAACAGTTTCAAGACGTAAACATCAAAGGAAAATCTAATACAATTACAGAAAACACATCATAGAAAAGTCATTACACTCTCATAAAAATTAACAAGTTGACTCGGACTGGGAAGGGTAGTAGACTACTGACAGACAGGTAGAAATTCGGCAATGTTGCCAACAAATCGTTAAATTTTCGACTAACGTTACAGAAGCCGCGTTTAATCTTATAGGTAATTTATTGATACTGATGTCGATTCTGGCATGATTCTCTAAAGCTTAACTTTAATTTGAAACAGTGTATCTTTGTTACTCTCTATACAGAATGAAAAAGACAGATTGATGTTAAATTTAGTTTTAAGTTTAGAGAATCCTGCCAGAATCGACACCAATATTTTGATTGCTTTGATCACAATTCGCTGTTATAAGCAATTGAATATTATTATTTATATTTTAAGAGTATTATCACGCATGCATATCCTACGATATCAACGTTTCGTGCCTAAATTCAGTCAGAGATTCAAGCATGAACTTTGACAGCTCAGTAATCGTATCACATGTTCACACAAAGTTTCTATGCAAACTAAGCAGCACCCCTACCAGACGTAAGAACAAACTGGCTCCTTCCATACAAAATTTGACGATGACGATACGACTACAGATCTCTCAACGACAAACATACCGTTCGTTTTTGACGTGACAACGTCTTAAATTAGGTTGCGGCTGGGAGTCACTTATGAAAAAGTGTAACGCTCGGTAACGTTACGATGAGTCTCTCGTGTTAAGTTTAAGTTTACATGTACAATGTTTTAGTAAACAAAATATATTTCTATAGTTAAAATTTGTGCAATTCTTATTTTCATTCAATTCCTTGTTCCTATTGTGCAATTTAATTATATTCATATCAATAAATATTCTACCGAGAAAAAGACGTTGTCACGTAAAATCTTCGCCCGTAAAACCGACTTTACAGGCAACCATTTTATGACCGACTCCTTGGCCGAGTGGTTTTTACGCCGGGTTTCAAATGAAAGGGCTCAATGTGAAGATTTTAAACATATTTCTAAATATTTACAACATACAACTGACTCATTTTTCCGTTTCTGACAGATTTCTTTTTCCGTTTTTTGGCCCATATCATAAAAAAACAGTGTCTAATGATCTTGTGCGCGAATCCGAATCGCAATTGGCCAGTTTTATTTCTCTAGTATTTTAAGTATAGTCAATCCATAGTTCCGCCTGTTTTATCCATATTTAATATATCAATAATATTAATATCCTTATTTGACGTAACATTGGCCAATAATCTAGAATATATATCAAACTTTAGCCTTTGAATTTTTTATTAGTGACCAATGACGTATATAGAATATATTTAAGTCATACGCCATCATTATTTTATTTTAAAGTGGCACAAGCAGTACTCTTGTATAATTGATTTTAATCAATAAAAATAATTAAATAATCATGTTTTTTATTTAATAACATGTCATAAGTATTCTTTACGATTCAAAAAAATGTGACAGAACTTGGTTTGTGTAGAAAATAATATTCGCTTTATTTTGAGACCAAATAAGCATTTTTTTTCTATGAAAAGTATCTTCTTTGCCCAAACTTTCCTTGGATTAGATTGACACGTTTTTCTTGTCCCTAACAGTTCTCATATAATTTATATACTACCTAAAACACACAAAGAGCTTTCTGCCTGGAAAAATGTACCATATTTATAAGCTGTAGCAACCTGACTGAATGCAAGACTAGCCTGAAATTCGTATTGCCAAATTAAAAGTATGCATTATGTATCTTTAACTATAAAAACATTTTAGTTAGTGATGTACAATCTCTAGGGATTTTTTTAACTAATTAATATGATTGTTGTAAACGATGGTGTAGATAAGTTTAAAATATTCCATCTTTCATTATAGCTATATTAGATCAAGAAATTCGAAATTATGGTATTATATCTACGATACCGATAGATAGAATATGTATTTAATGCGTGGCGTAGTAAAATATTTTCTCCTCTATTATTTCTCACATGTACACGCACATACACTGGTTCAATAGGATTTTGGTCTCATTTTGACAACTCCATTGCTAATCCTTAAAATAAGATATCTATGAGATATATTTATAAACCTTACGAAAATTTTACTGAAAAACAAATCACTCGGCTATGTGACAGGCTCAGATCAAATAGAATTTATTTTATCTGAGGTATCAGGCTGGCTATAATTTGGCGAAGTGTTTTTTTTTTTTAAATAAGTTTAGCAGTGTACAACACAACATTTTTAAAATATAGTAGCATGAAAAGGAGGTTGGTATGGTTCATGATGTGCATGCCCCCCGAGAGAACACAGTTAAAAACGTAGGTTTCGTATACATAAAGTTTTAGCAAGATCTCTAAAAAAATTGTAGCCAGAAGGATGATTTTCTAACTGTTGTAAGTCGAACGTCTGAGAGCCCACATTCGGTGAGTCGTAGCGTTCGACTTACAAAACACTACAAATTTATCCTCCTGGGAACAATTTTTTAAAGATCTTGCTAAATATACGAAACCTACGTTTTCCACTGTGGCCTCTCGGAGGGCACACATATTGGTATATGTACATATAAAATGTTGGAATGACTCTTTTTGCTGAAATACCTTTCTCAATATTATTTGTTCACATATAGCTGTAGTTAGACAAATAATATTTTATACTTTTTTATAAAAGGATTTAAATAATTATTTTATTTTATCGTTAGGTGGGTTTGGCCCATCCTTGTTATCAAAAATTATGAAACTAGTCCAAAATAGTTTTGTTGGCAACATTATTTTACAGACATTTTTGTTTTTTCATTTCGTTAAGACAAAGGATACAAAGTTTATACAGTCTGACCTACTGTATTGTTTTTTTTTCACTAAAAGCTAGTTACATTATGTAAAGGGTGTAAGCCCTGAAATAAATCAAGATAGATCGGCGATGTGGGTGGGTCGACCGTGTCAAAATCTTGCACTATAGACTATGGTGGTTTTCCAATTACAGAGCATAATGCGACTCAGTGGCGCACAATGCCGAATTATGCTGATGCTTAATTGGAACGTGAATTAGTTTTCAAATGCACCAGCAGAGTGCGCTAAGTTCAGTGTTGAAAAACAAGTCGACGTATGTACCTTCAACCATATTTATATTTAATTTTATAACACAGTTTGAATTAACTTTGATTATTTAAAAAAAAACTATAATGAAACGAAAGTTTTGATAATTTTTCAACATAAATAATATTACTAACGATAACATATAAATAAAACATTTCGATCAATGCCAACTTATATTAATCGAAATGTTTTATTTACATGTTATCGTTAGTATTATTATTTATTGTTGAAAAATTATTAAAACTTTCGTTTCATTATAGTTTTTTTATGTCCAAAAAAATTGTTCTATCGTTCTATTGTTCTGGGATAACATTCTCCTAACCCATATGAGAACACTACGTTACAATACCCAATAGTTTGAACTTTGGCGCAAAGGCGCATTGTAGGCTTAGAACAAAACAAAAGTTCCCAAGGCAGCGCGAACGGGACGGCGAGATCCGGCGCGTCACTGCATTACCGACCCGAACGAAACAGCACGTTAAGTTTCAACGGCAGCGCAAACGAGACGGCGAGATCCGCGTCACTGCACTACCGACCAATCACGCGACGAGTACTCGACTTCACTACCGAATTAGATTCAAAACATACAGCAATTTTTATGAAAAAATATATTTTATAGTACTTGAGCAATTTGAGCACTTTTTAAAAACACACTTAGGCATTGTTTTATCATATAAACACAAAATATTAGCAATATTTCTTTTTGGCGTTCACATGTATGTCGTTTGCATGTCATGTTGTGACTAAAGCGATTAGGGTCGTGGACCACAATTCATGCGGATCTCTTTTGTGAGGCTAGTGCCGTATCTACCCTTTTTGTTTTAATCTAAGATTGTAGGTTTCAGAACACTGCGTTACAGGTGGACAACCATTATCACTTAAGGATATGAAAAATAGATAGTAGCTGATTCTCAGACCCACGGAATATGCATATAAAATTTCATAAAAATCGGTCAGGCCGTTTCGGAGGAGTATGGTAACTAACATTGTGACACGAGAATTTTATATAAAAGACCCAGCGAAATTCGTACCGCCCTAAAAAAATAGGGGTTGGTGGTAGAAAGGTGAAAATTTAGGGTTGTATGTATTTTTGTACGATGTATCATAAAAAAATTAAAAAATAAAATCTAAAATTGAAAAAAAAATTTAGGGGTGGATTACCCTTAACATTTAGGGGGATGAAAAATAGATGTTGTCCGATTCTCAGACCTACCCAATATGCACACAAAATTCCCCATTCATGAGAATCGGGAAAGCCGTTTAACCACAAACACCGCGACACGAGAATTTTATATATTAGATTTACAAAATCCAGTCTTAAATATGAGTAATTTAAGGTAAACTTACATAAAGGCAACTTAAGGCTGGTGATAAATCAGATCCCAGCAATTTTAGGCCTATATCTGTATTACCAGCGCTAAGTAAAGTATTTGAGAAAATAATTTATAACCAATTACTAGCACACTTTTCTATAAATAAGCTACTTCATTTAAAACAGTTTGGTTTCACTAGAGGCAAAAGTACTACTGATGCTGGAACTGCACTTCTCAAACACATTTTT